TTGTGAAGCCTATATGTATCAGATAACAATATTTAAAAAAAAAAAAAGAAAAAACCTCTCAGCATATTCACGAGCTCGAGCCCTTTGCTCTTTGGCAAGTGAAAATGGTTCGTTTGTTTGGTGGCCTTTTTGCATCAGCTCGTGAAGGATTCAAACATCATACTAATAATGAAGAAATTAAAGACAAGTCATCGCATTCTTTCTACCCAAAAAAAGAGACAAGTCATCGTACAAACACGTACGACGTCGTACGTACGTGGTTCCTCCTTCTATTCCTTCAATTTCTCTTAAATCCACACTTCCCAAGCTCATTGACCCAGTCCTTTTCACTTGAACATATTTATATTTTTGCAATTACTCCCACTAATTTTATTTATAAAACATCTTTTAAAAATAATTTTTAATCTAAAATATAAGATACCTTATAATAATTAAATTATTTTTTTAATTTTACTCTTTTTTAATTAATGTAAAAATATTTAATGTAATTGTATTATTGTTTAAAATTAAAGATAAAAATAAAATTATATCTCATTTTTTTTATTATTTTAAGAAAAAAATAATTTTTTTAAATGTGTGAAACAGTTAAAAGTATTTTATAATAAGGATCAAAGGAGTAATTTAAAAAATTGGGACAAAAATCCGGATCTCCTCATGAAAGTTGGATCAAGTTGATAAAAAAATTTCTGGATCTTCTCATCAAACATAATTTATTCCAATAAGTCCATCTTCCAACTAGTGAGGTTCCCCTGAATTTAATCGATCTGTATCATAATGGAATTGAAGTGGCCAGATATTTTCCTGGTGGCAACATGCTCCTTCAAGTTCATCACTCTTCACAAAGCTCTGATATCACTTGCGAAATAGGTGTGGGTTATGGTGTTGAGGCCACCCAAGAATCTCAAAACCTACGGTTCATGGGCTATCGTCACTGGTTCGACCGAACGGAATCGGTAAAGCCCTTTCCTTTGAACTGGCTTCCAAGGGGCTCAACATCCTTCTTGTCGGTTGAAGCCCAGAGAAGCTCGAAGGGACGAAGTCGAAGTAAAGCTTGTAGCTAGTGATTGACTTTGAGAACGTTAATGGGGAAGAAATAGCGAAGAAGATGGAGGAAGCGACGGAGGGTTTAGACGACGTGGGAATTCTGATCAACAATGCAGGCATAGGAGAACCATATCCGAGGTTCTGTCATGAGAATGATCCTGGGATTGTTGATGCCGTCGTGAAAGTGAATCTTGAGGGACCCACTTGGATGACGAAGGGAATACTCCCAAAGATGATGAAGAAGAAAAAACGAGCCGTTGTTAACATTGGATCAGCTTCTGCTTCTGTAGTTCCTTCCTTTCCTCTTCGCACCACATGTTCTGCTACAAAAGCGCAAGTTCTATCTATCCACCCATTAAAATTATTTAATCCTCAACTACGATCCATATATATATATATATATATATGTATATTATTACATTGTTGGCTCCACAGATATGTTGCGATGTTGTCGAAATGCACTAGTTTGGAGTTCCAAGCGCAAGGAATTGATATCTAGTGTCAGGTGAGTATAATGAGGGTGTATGTGAAACATTTTATATTAATTTGAGTTTTGATCAAAGTACAGAGACCGGTTCTATCGTTGAATTGGTCCAGGTAATAGTTGAAGGTTAAGTGGTCTAAATGTGGTCAAATCAATATCAACATGATTAAAATAAGATAATTTAATAAAAATATACAAGAAAATTCATATAAAACTTTCAAAGGAGTAATATTTAAATAAAAAGGCACGAATCTACGATCATAATGGATCATTCATATATAAACCTCACATAATCTAACAAAACAAAGTTATTAAAGCACAAATATGACACACTTCTATTTTTTTTTTATATTTTTTTAACTCAAAACAATGTCATTTCAAGTTTAGCAAGGAGGAAAAAAAAATATGAAATTCAACTTGATCTACCAATCTAAAACTCTTGACTATAAGAGACTAGTTCACCGATTTATTAGCCAACCTAAATCAAGCTTTGATGTCATGGCCATGTTTAATGTGGGTCTACTTTTGAGTATAGAAACAAGATCTGTCATTGAATTAGTCAAGGTAATGGTTTAAGATTAAGTGGTATAAATGTGCTTAAATCGGGATCTACCTAACCATGATTAAAATAAAATAATTTAATAAAAATATACAAACAAAAAATCCATATAAAACTTTGAAAGGAGTAATATATAATTTCTTAGGATTACAAAATGAATTAAAACTTAAAGGTTTAATTAATATTTAATATATATATATATAATAATTAGTTTTATTCAAATATTTAGGTTAAGCATGAACCGACCAAGCTTGGCCTGAACATAAAAATTTGCAGTTTTACTAAGCCTAACTCTAAATTCTTTTTTTTTTTTGGGGTCTGCCTCATTGGGTCCTTGTGGTTTATAAATACACATTGTATCATATTGTTTAATTCAATTCAGTAAATGGAAAATAAATTTCTTCTCCAGATTCTCTTGTGAATTCTTCTCAGGTGGGAAGCGAGCCATGTGGATTCACATTAAGTTACTTTAAAAATATGGTATCAATTCGGCCTCAGCAAGAAGCATATTTTCTGATTTGTCATTCGTACGAATGGTCAAGAATTGGGCTGGCAATGGCAATTCAAGATCCAAGACACATAGGCCATGTTTGGTAGGTTGGAATTGTAAAGATGGAAATGGAATTGAGATAGGAATTTGAATAAAGTGATGTTTGGTAGATATGAATTACAATTCTTGGGAATCCTAATTCTATGGAAAAAAGCTAATTTGAATTCCTTATGTAAATCTATGGAATTGGGAGCAATTCTATAGAATTGCAATTTTTAAGACACTTTTGCCCTCATACAAATTCCAGAAAGACAAATTTGCCCTCAAAAAAAAAAAACCCTCATATGCTAGCAAAAAAAAAAAGAAAAAGGGAGTATAAAAGGGTGAATGATATTTTTGCTCATTATATATAAAACGTTATAATATATATAAGATAGTATTATATATAATATTTGTATATAATTTATATATTTATAATATTTTTTTGATATAAGAAGTAGAATTGATTTGTTTGACATTTTTCTTCTAAATCTACATGTTAGTGTATTTATTTTAAAGTAGAAGGGATGGGAACCATTGCCAATTTTATTTTCAAGAAAATGTTCCCTCTGATGATAAAACTTTTTGTTTGGCCCAAGCTAGTGAATAATAGTTACAGATATAATCTATAATTTATATAATATTTCATTAATATATAAAATACATAAGAAAATTGTTACACAATTAAGTTTTTATTATGTTTTGTTTTAATTTTTATATAGGGGTATTTTTGTCTTTTAAGTATAATTCCATTTCCATGTCTTGCATACCAAACAAAAGTAATGCAAGGATTCCATCTAATTTTTCTGACATACCAAACATACTTTTATAATTCAATTCTATTCCAATTCTGATTCCAATTCTGATTCTAATTCCAATTCCAATTCCATCAAAAGCTATTACATCATATCAAACGAGGCCATAGAGAACATACTTGGGCCGAACAATCAAATCCGAGATCCGTCCAGTTTCCAAACCTGTGGCTTCTTCAACCATACCAAGGATTGTCAAGACCCGTCAAACTGTCGCCCTCTCCAGTTTTGCCCACGTCATCAAAATTTTGAAGCAAATCTCATGCGTCCGTTTCACAAATCACGATCGTTCGTTTCTGGCTAACCTCTCAGCATATTCTATAGGCCATTGCTCAATCGTGACCCTCATCAATTGTGAAGCCTATATGTATCAGATAACAATTTTTTTTTAAAAAAGAAAATAACCTCTCAGCATATTCACGAGGTCCAGTCCACTGCTCTTTCGCAAGTGAAAATGGTTCGTTTGTTTAATTTGGTGTCCTTGGGATTTAAAGTGTATCACTACACACGTGTATATCTATGATATATTTTTTTTGGCCAATATGACTCTGGTTTTCGTGTTAAACCTGAACTGAATTTACGGTGGCATGAGCTCAAGACGTGGTATGAACTTCGAACTCAATCTCCGATTAATTTTATAATGCTTTCTGCCTCACTGTTCTGGTTTGTGAATACATGTTTTTGAATTTCTGTCTCCAAATGAAGCTGATGATAAACTTTTTTTTCCCCAGTCTTTTCAATGAAAAACGATATTCTCAATATAAATTAAGTTAAACAAAAAGGGGCTTCTACAGTTTCTAGAGCCATGCTAGCTAATTGATGATGAGTATCTCTGCACATCAATTTACAGCGCAATACCCAATCTTTACACCAAAACAATCTTTGCTTCGTCATGATGAGTAAATTAAATGCCTTTGCACAGTTAGTGATCACATGAATTCTGGTAATCTTTTGCTGCCCACAAAGCTCTAAACCTTTTACAAATACCTGTTACCACGGCTAGATCTCTCACCCATACTTGCATTAGAACAAATAAATTTAATATAAGAGGATACTTGTGAGCGATAAAACAATTAAACTTGATGGAAACTGTCCATCATAATGCCATTTTTTCTCATACTCTTGACAAAAAAAGTTTCGTCGTCCTGGTTGAACCTGTCTAGGCAGTTTCCCATCATTTTCATGTTTCAATGTCCTATTATAGTGGTAAAATCAACTTCGTACAGGCAAGTTCGTACTGAAGCATCACACCTTATCCATGAACTCATAACCAGTCGTCAACACAGAACATGTGGGTGATGTATTCTAGTTAAAATTCATATCTGAAATCTTTTTGGGGCTAACAAAAATTTCTTTAACTAGCTTACATGGCAATTCTCCTATAATATGATCATGCTTGAACAAGAAAGCATGCAGACTAAGGGTTTAAGAGCTTTGAAAACCCTAGTTTCAAAAGCAACATTATTTTTTATCTCTTCATTAGTAATTTCAGTTGCTAAAATGTTCTAACAGGAGAAGTGAGACTTTTTTTCATTTTTTGTTTTTTTTTTGGTTTTACAGGAAGAAGATATCATGGAGTTTGGGGATCTTTTTGTTATAGCATTAATGCCAGTCATAAAGGTACTTTTGCTAATTGCTATTGGGACAATTCTTGCACTGGATCGGTTTGATATATTGGGTGAGAATGCCAGGAAGTACCTGAATAATGTAAGTTCCATCCCTATGATTGCCATACTCATAAAACTATCAACTACATTGGCAGAAAAAAAAAGCAACTATAAGATAAATGAAAAAATTGCATGTTTTCATAACAACTAACATAAGCAATTCTTTCTGCCATTTTTCCCCCTAGATGGCATATTTTGTCTTCACCCCAGCTCTTACTCTTTGCAACATGGCCCACTCTGCGAATTTAAAAAGTAGTCTACTTATGCTGTATGTTTGTTTTTTGTTACCCCTCTATTTGCATTTTCATTTCCTTTAAATTCCTTCATAAGAGGAAATCTTACTGAATTTTTTTTCATTTATTTCTTGTTGTTTGTTTTATGATTTTACTAATTATATAGGTGGTTCTTGCCATTAAATATTCTTCTCACATTCATCATTGGGTCTGCTCTTGGATGGCTATTAATTAAAATAACACGACCTCCTCGTCATTTACATGGTCTTGTGGTGGCATGCTGTGCAGCAGGCAAGTTAAATCAAACTTAGTAGCATATTTCTAAAATTTAAAAGTCCTCTTAATCAAACTTTCAAACTAAGGATGTCATGTTTCTAACTACTTCAATGGATGTGAATAGGAAGCTTGGGAAACATACCGTTCATTATCATTCCAGCTGTATGTAAGGAAAGAAGCAAATTGTTTGGAGATAAAGATGTTTGTAATAGAGATGCAATGACATATGCTTCTCTATCCTTGGCAGTAAGGCACTTTATGCTTAAAAAAATAATTGGGAACATGTATGTTCAACTAAAGTAGCAACTTCAGAACCTATGAACCAATATGAAATTTCTCATCTTTTTTATTTTTATTTTTCAGATAGGAAGCATTTTCATTTGGACTTATGTTTACAACCTTGTCCGTCGATATTCATGTCAGAATTCAACTTTAAGTCAAGTTGATGTTTCCCAAATGAATCGGGTGTTTGTCCCAATAACTAATCCTGAGAACTCTTCAACAAGTTCCATAGGATTGCCAATCACTATGAATAACATCTTGCAAACAAATGACCAAGACAATGCTGTTGAAATTGGAATCACAAGGCCTAAGGGAGTAGGAAATGTTATTCTACATTCTTTTATTATAAAATATTTAATTTTTTTACTTTCCTCTGAATATTTATGCTCCCATTAGACTTTTACTATTGAAACATAATATCAATATGTGGAGCACATATTAATAATTAATATGTAATTTGTTCAAATATTATTTAGCTACTGACGAAATAGGAATGGCAAGAATGGAGTTCAATATGATATGCATGCATAAAATACTTTTTACTAGTTTACACCTGAGCAATGAGCAAGGACATTATTGCCTTTGTTATTTTTCCTTTTCTCTACAATGTTACATGCAGTATGACTTGGTAATTTGACACTTACATTCTTTTACAGAGTTTACAGGTAACAAAACTTGCGAAGATAATGAATCTGTTAAAAATGTTAGCCGAAAAAGTCAATTTAAAGGCCCTGATAGCACCTGCAACAATTGGAACGGTATGATAAAAGTTTTCTCTTAACACTATTTTTTGTTGGTTCTCTTCATTAATTGATAGAGAATATATATAGGTACACACATTAATGCCTACACCTATACATAAACTCTAGCATGACTGACACATTATATCAAGAATATGCATATGGTACACAAACATATCTGAAATACTAAAATTGTACTAAAGGATCATCGTTGTATATCTTATGTATACAAACTATGATGTAATCATTACTTTCAAGGAATGAGTGCAAGACATTTGATATGTTTATATGTGAACCAACTTAAAATTTTCTAAACATTATCATAAGAATCTTTTTTATGATATAACTTTAGACTATCGTCAGTTATATTATACCAAAAATAGTGAAAGGGAAGTACTGGATAATCTAGGAAAGAAAAGAAATTTCCTTTCAAAAAGTCATTTTAATTAATAGGGCTATAGCTTACCAAGACTTATTGTTTGGTTTAAGGATCCTTCCTAATCCTTCTTCTTATATAGGTGATTGGCACAATAATAGGTACAATGTCTGGATTTCAAAACATATTAGTAGGTGAAAATGCTCCTCTTCATGTAATTGATGACACAGTATCCATGCTAAGGTAAATAATATTTTTCATGTTGATAACCATAACTTAATTTGTGTATCAAGTTAGCAGACTGAAAAAATAGAATATATGTTCTAATTGGCTTTTAATCTTTCCTAACCAAAAATGTACATTAAAACATTGCTTTATTATGCTCAAGAACAATAATAGAACTTATTGTATTGCTCAAATATGTTTATTTTATTTTTACTTTTTTTTTGAAAATGTAGTGATGCAGCTATTCCAATTTTAAGCTTGTTAGTTGGGGCATATATTGTAAAAGGTAACCTAAAACATGATCATCTTCCATTTTAGGTTAATTTCATTTAAATATTTTCTAACAAAAATAAACTATAATTTAATGACATACTAGATTTTCTTCAGGTTTAAGAAGATCAACTTTACAATATCAAATCATTATAGGGGTCATTGTTGTTAGATATATTGCCTTACCAGCCTTTGGCGTAGGCGTTCTTAAAGGCGCAATCTGTATCGGCATGATCCATCCTGATCCATTGTATAAGTTTGCTTTGTTGCTTCATTATGCTCTTCCACCTGCAATAAACATAAGTAAGTTAATTATCCTACTCAAACACTATTTATGTTTCTGCGTAACTTCCAACAAATCAATTTCATTAGCAATGTGCTATTCTTTAAGATCATAAGCCATAGACTCCATATATCTAGTTTCTTTAATTTGCAACATGTTTATCTGTAGCAGTCAAGAGATGTTGAGGATTAATACATAGCTAGCAGCAACACTTTTTTGTCCTTTCAGTTGGAAAAAAGTTTAAACTATTCCATGGCTTTAATTTAATTGAGACTATATATTTGTTTCCTTTATGACTTTTCCAGATACGATGTGTCAAATATTTGGGATTGGTGTGGATGAATGCTCAATTCTCATGCTAGCAACTAATGTTTGTGCCTTGGCAGCAATTACTTTATGGTGTACATTTTTCATGTGGCTTATATTGTAACCATTTGTGTTGGATGTCCTCTTTTTTATTGTTAGAGATTTCATATATCTATCATGAATAAGAGAAAATGAAACTTAGAGCAATAAGAAGGAATATGTAGTAGAAACAATAATGCTAAAAAATAGCTATTTTACCCTAGAGTATGATCAGAACTTGCACTAAAATTAATCTATATTTAATTTATAATGTGATCAAATTTTGCAAAAATTGATATATACTTATGCTAAAAAACTTCTCACCATAATTATATTTGACATGCTATCAAGCAATTCTTCCAAGATGTAATGCCTGAATTAAGTCATATCACTGCTCGTTGTATGCAACATTTTTGTTTTGCCTTTTAAGAACATTTAAAAAAATGTAGCAAGAATTATGAAAATTGTTGGCCACACTTCATTAAAACCTATAAGCAATAGCCTTGAAATGTTGTTTAGAGTTGTTACGATTCATAACTTTAGCCTAAAAGCCCAATAAGCAGTAATTTTAAATTATAAGTGTAACATATATATATATATATATATATAGTAAAATTAAAAATTGTTACTTTAGAAAATTTCAGTTTTTCTTCTTTCATGCATACCTAAGTTCTTCGCTCTTTAGACCTTAATTTGAACCAATAAAAACAAAACCCTTTTAAAATGATATTAAAACAGCTCATAGTAGTTTGCTACCGTATGAGATGAATGAATAATGCACGATTTTTCTAAGTTTTCAAACTCTTTCCAACATATTTAGTGCACAAGCAATGTTCTCATTTTCAACTTTACCATACTATGTAGCAGCAAAGAGTGCTTCATGCAACTAGCAAATTCAATTCACTCATTAGTTACAATAACCCAAAAATTGTAAAAGTCATGATAGACAATCTAGATAAGAAAATTAGCAGAAAAGTAATCACTTGGATCATTAAACCTCTTGCTCCTATCATATTAGCAGCAGAAAAATCCCTGATATGGAACAAAATGAAGTTATATGAATATAAAGACAAAAGTGATCGATTGAAAAAAGATAAATTTAAGTAATATAATTGCTAAGTACTCTAGAAGCTAAGTTGTCAATATTATCTTCAATACAATATTTGCTCAGCTTGTCACATTATAAAATGAGCTGACATCATCACCCCATGTGTATCCTAGTCATCTTCTATTATGCGATATGAGTTAACCAGCCCATTAACATCCTCAGCCATTGCTGGTGTCACGTTGGTTCTAGGGGACAGAGAGTATACAATAGAGCAATCAAGTGCCTTGAGAATCTAGCATGGTATATGAAAATGTAAGTAAGAGCCAAACAAGTCTACCAAAATAATTCTGACCTACCATTTTTTTTCTTCTTTTCTTTTTGTTTTTTTTTTGGAATGTTGGATTAATTTGATGAAGATATAGAAGAATTAAGCTAGATTGATGTATAATTGAGACAGGTAGATTTCTATTAATTTTATTCATAGTTGTGTTCACCTATTAGCTCAGGTTAATTTCTCATAGACTTACTCTAGATTCTTGACCTTTTGATCAATCTCCACCTTTATGTTTGGAGGAGGTGGTTGATGAAAAGAAGCAAACTTATTGTATTTTTTTCGGCTAAAATACTTATTGTACTTTGACATTCTTCACTTTTTGGGGGTTTTTTTTAGTTAATTGATGTTTTCAATATTATTAAAAAAATATTCAAATTAAAATTTAACAGCTTGAATTTAATTATTTATTTATAATTAAATATTTTAATAATAATTTTATAAGAAATTAAATACAAACAGTCCAAATCTTGATCTACTAATAGTTAGAAAACGAAAAAAATGGAAGTGAATGAGAAAGGAAAATGAGATGAGAGAATCTTGCTATTATTTACTTAAAGTAGTTTTTTTTTTCTTTTTTTTTCCCAGCGAGTTATTGAGAAAGAATGCACACACGCACACATTTATATGATCATATCGTGCGTGTGATACACATTTATATGATCATATCGTGTGTGTGGGGAAATCGGAAACGCGCAAGAATTAATTAATGCAGAATTTCAGATTTAATTGTGTTGCTTTTTTATCGCTTCGATTGAAGAAATCGGCCTGCATTTTTTAATTAATAACCTAATAATAAGAAGATTAAAAAATGAAATTTTTAATCGATCCAATTTGCGTCAGTTATTAATTTGATCCCTCAAGTTTAAATATTAAATAGTAGGCAAGAAAATATAATATTTAATCTGAACTGTGATTGACGCTCACACCATAAATATTTGGATAAATCCTGATTTTGCAGAATAATTCAAATGGTAATCACTATAATTTGGTATCGTTTCCAAAAGCTTTATTTTATCTTCCATGTGTGCGTGTGTATTGTTGCCTTTCTTACCCCTAAGTAAGTATGATTAAGAGGTAGAAGAGAAAATGAAAAGCAAGGGAAAAAACACAATTATTAATCCCTATGATTTTATTAAATTTTATTATTAATTCTTATAATTTTTTTAGTTTTTAATTTCTATAGTTTTAATATAATTGGATGATGTTTATTCCTCAAATCCCTAACGATGTTAAATTATGTTATTATAGGAACCAGTTATTATATTTTTTCAAAGCAATGAAAAAATTTCTCCCCCAATAGGTAATTTTAACTAGGAGTGAAAAGTATCTAAAATGCACTTATTTTTTGAGTTTAAACAAATAGATCTTATATATAATGAAGAATTCCAATACTCAAATTTTCATTTAAATAATTTATGTTATTAACTTATTTTTTAAAATCAAATTATAAAAAAATACGCTTGATAGACCTATAGGCTAGGTTTTAAAATATATATACATGACTTATTTACTTAAGTAGGTTTGTTTAAATATTAGACCAGATCCTAATCAGGCCCCGCCATGAAAGCAAATCCTCTCAGATTCTACCCTTTTCAATGTTCCTCAACGGTGACAAATCCAAGCCGTTTAATCCATACCCAATATCTCATACCTTATGACATCATTTTTGTTCACATTTTATTATATCACTTTAGATATATTTTTTATGATGATGATTCATACTGATTTTTTTTATTTTTTTATTTTCAAAATTTGTTTTAAAAAATTACTCTACAGATTTTTTTTTTCAAACATAAATATAAATAAGCCCGCAAGGACCTACCTTCTACCTTATTTAAATTTTGACTTAACCTATTTAACAAAAATAGGTTTTAAAAAATATACACTATTTTTTTAGAATAAGTTTTGAAAATGAAAAATAAAAAAAATTAATATGGGTCATCATCATAAAAAAATATAATAAAGTGATAAAATATAGTATGAAAAGTTATTTTTTAAAGTTAAATTATTTTAACCTGAGATGATGTGACAATGCATGAAATATTAGATACGGACTGAAGCCTTGGATTTTACAATGATAAGGGACACTAAGAAATGTGGAATCTGAATAAAAAACAATTTTTGAAAAATTCATTTTTTAAATTTTGTAATATTCATTTAAGGTTTTTTAAATAAATAGAATTAAAAAATCATAACATAGAATTTAAAAATAAATAAATAATAAATCTTTATTTTATAATTTGAAAATTTAGGTTAATTGAATCTCGATCTTATATATCAAGGCTATGATATGCTTTTGAGTTCAAAAAGTATTTACAAAGGTAATTATTACTTACATATCCTTCCTTGTATTTGGATTAAAATTATTAAAAATTGAAGTTTGCAAATTAAAATTAGGAAAAAAGTAAGTCACTGCAATGTGATTTATATTTAATATTATTTTAAAAAATTAATTTAACATGATTTATATTTTAATAAATAACCACAAAAATCAAAAGTAAAAAAAGTTCAACTTCTTATCAGGCCTTAGTTTTGAGCCTAAAGCCATTCCTACAAACAAAATTAAAATGGTCTAACATTAGTTTTGAAACCCAAACCTCCATTTAGCCACCCAAATTGAGTTTTGGGTTTAAACCAAACATATATATCTTAATTAACAAGATTTTTTACATCAACAATAGAATTTAAATTTACAATGTTATGAGTTATAAGTTAAATTCTTATTAGAACAATAATAAATTATTTTTTATAAACAAAGATATCAGACAATCTAAACTTTTGATTAAATAATAAAGAATTTTTATTATTGTAATCAAAGGCAAAATTTCCATCTACAAAAAAAAGTAGTCACAGGCAAAATAATTTATGCTTTTAGTAAAATTTCTAAAAAATCAATTTTATAAAATTCACTTACTTTATAAAATCACTTTTACAAGAAAAAAGACTATCTAAAACGCTCTTTGTTTGTGAGTTTTTAAACAAATGGACCCTATAGCTTATCAAGAGTTCTTATATTCAAATTTTCATTTATATAATTTATGTTGTTAACTTTTATTTTTTATTTGAATTTTTTAATTTATAGATTAGGTTATATATTTTTATTTTTAAAAAAAAATAGTGAAATGAGAAATAAAAAACTTCAAATTGCGGCTGTCAGATTATCATTATACAAATGACGTGGCTTGGAGATAGAGTTAAATTTGGATGGATACAACAACAACAATAACAACTCTTATCTCACTAAATGAGGTTGGTTATATGAATTACATGATATTATTTTTCCCTATCATTTATTAAATTTTTAAAAATATTATTAACTAAAAAGTAAATTTGGACGGATGTTAACACAAAAATGCTAAGGACACCTAAGATGTGGATTAAGATTTATATTGGGTATTGTGAAGAAGTCAACAGTTCAAAGCTCTGGCTAAAACGAGCAACAAATTTAAAAGATTTTCTTCCTGAAATATAAGTGATATGCGAATGTAAAAATTATTCAATTAGCCGAAAACTATAAGCAGTTAATTGACCCCTGTTCTCTATACGGAGAAGTTTTACTCATCAGTCAGTGTTTCTGTGAACCCTTCTGGCCGGCGAATTCATGGATTCCATCCACAAGATCCCCAACGAAGCCGCCGCCTCGGAAGTTGACGGCCGCCACACTGTGAACTTCCCGGTGGCGCCGAGGGGGTTTAAGAAGAAAATGAAGTCGGCGTTGAAAGAAACGTTGTTCCCAGACGACCCTTTCAGGCAGTTCAGAAGCGGAGGCACGACGAGAGAAAGATTTGTGAATGGAGTACGGTACTTCATTCCGATGTTCGAATGGCTTTCCACTTACAGTCTCCGATTGTTCTGGTCGGACCTCCTCGCCGGCTTCACCATCACCAGCCTCGCAATCCCTCAAGGCATTAGCTACGCTAAACTCGCCGGCATTCCCCCCATCATTGGCCTCTGTAAGTTCTTCTTCTTCTTCTTCTGCGAATAGAGTGATTGTATGCGTAATCGTATATATGAAATCAGATTGCAGTTTTGTGCCGCCGCTAGTGTATGCCGTGTTCGGGAGTTCAAGACATATGGCGGTGGGGACGATAGCGGCGGCGTCGCTACTTATAAACCAAAGTATTTCGAGCGTCGTGAAGCCGGAGGACGACCCTGTGCTGTTTCTTCATTTGGTTTTCACGACCACCTTCGTCACCGGCGTATTTCAGGCTGCTTTAGGTATTCTACGGTGAGAATCTCAACCCATAATCTCACGGACCTATAGTAATTAATTAATTATAAACTAAACAGTATCATTTTTAATACAATTTTTAATTTTAATTTGGAATTCTGATAAATTTCATACAAAAAAAAAAAACCTCCTAAGAAAGCAGGTCTGTTTTTGGTATACTTGTAAAATTTTCTTACTTTCTCTGTCCGCTTGTTTATCTTCTCACTAAAGAGATATTTATATCTACTAAATGAGGAATTTTTGCCTGGACAAACAGTATCGCCTTATTCACGCTCAATCCAATAAATTATACTAATTTAATTAAATAAAATCTTATATGTTATTATTTTTAATAACTTTAATTTTGTAATAATGTCTATTATTTTGAATTAAATTTACAGGTTAGGGATATTGGTGGATTTCTTTTCGCATTCGACGATAATAGGGTTCATGGGAGGGGCAGCCGTAATGCTATGTCTGCAACAACTTAAGGGTATATTTGGAATGAAACATTTCACTAATCACACAAGTATCGTCTCTGTGCTCGAGTCTATCGTGGTCAATAAGCATGAGGTTCAGCATTTAACTTGATCATTATATAAATTCACCAATAGAAAATTTTATATATTATTTAATTACATTCTATTGTTCTTGATGGGAAACAAATTAAGTTTTATTTATACATTTGAATATTTTGCTTAAGACAGATGAGGTGGGAGCCCACAGTCATGGGTGTCATCTTCGTTGCTTTCTTGATGTTCACTAAGCATGTGGTAAGTGATCCCTCTTTTCTCTGAACTTATATATTTATATGAATTAAAAAATAATTTATTTTTGAAAAATTATATCATTTTTTTAATATTTAATTTCACTCATGTTTCTGGTTTCCAACATCTATTTTCGCCCTTGCGGGTCAACCTGCAAGCCCACCAAAAAATGACAAATTGAGTTTGTAAAAATGAGGCTCGTTCAGGTACAGGCCTGTTTTGGATTTCATTCATGGATTTGCGTGGCAAAAGGATAGGTATAGTTAACAGACTCACAAGCGTATGTACATATTGAGGATGTGGTGTGGCTATTTTTGGCATTTTTAATTTGCTTTAATTTTCATTTCAAAATTATGTTGTTGGTGGTTTGGACTATCAATATGCTAACCCACTTTTCGCGGCTCGAGTTTGGAAAATACTAGGTCGTGAGGAAGCAGATTTTCCCAACCCTTACTCGGCAATTCATGGGTTGACCCACATTATTTTTGTTTTAAATTTTGACTGATGAGTTCCTTTTGAGAGAATGATAAAGAGGTTATAAAAAAATTAATTAATTTAAATTAAATTTTAAGTATCAAACTTTAAAAATTTACAATTCAATTCCTTAATTTTGTACTACGTTGTAATGAATTTGTAATTTATATTTTAAATTCTAACAAAAAATAATTTTTTTATTTTTTAACCATATTTAAATTTAAAAATAAATTGAAAACTATCACAATGTAGTTACAAATTTAAAAAATTAAATTATAAATTTTTAAAATTTAATACTTAAAATTTAACTTAAATTAATTGATCTATTTAAAATTTCTTTGCCATTTTCTCATTCCCTTTTCTTTTTAAGTCAATTTTGCTTTCTCTTTTTGTGTTACAAATTGTTGTTTTTGGGACCCTTACATAACGTGCAGAAGAAGAAAAATAAGGAGCTCTTTTGGGTGGCAGCTGTAGCTCCAATATTAACAGTGATCGTTGGAGCTGTTTTCACCCACTTTGTCAGAGGCCAAAATCATGGAATTCAAATTGTGAGTTAATTAATTACTTGCCCACCTATTTACTCCCTTCACTTTTTTTTTAAAGTCCATTTAATTCAAATAGATTTATGTTGGCAAAAAAAAATCAAATAGATTTAGTGCTTGTTTAGGATTTCATTAATTAGTTGGCTTATACTATAATTTATAGGCTTAAAAACTAGTTAGGGATAAAAAAATTATGTTTGGGTAAAAATAGTTGGCAAATGATCCCCCCCCCCAAAGTATTGTTAGGCCAAAAGTTAGATTTTAAAACTTTTACATTAGTTATGTTGAAATATAACCATTAGCAATATTTAATGCATTTTAAATTTATGAGTAAAATACACCTTAATTATATAGGCCTTTCTTTTATTTTTAAAACCTATATAAATCTTCCTTGAAATTAAAATTTACATAACACATACCTCCTCTTTATTTTAAAGATTCCATTTCCTTCCATCCAACCATTAATTAATCATTAAATCATATGTTTTGGATCAAAATACCCATCTTTAAATAAATGTTGTTTAAGATTTATTTATATAAAATTATTTATATAATAATTTTTTAAATTTTAAGGATATAAGACAAAAATAATATTTCAGGCATATATGAATAAAATTTAATCAATTAAATTTTTTTTTGGAAAAAAAGAGTTAAGAATTTAACAGGAGATAAATTAATTAATATAATTAATATTCATTTTTTTAATTTTAGTACTCCCTCCATCCTAAATTAGAAGACATTTTTAGACAAAATTTTACATACCAATAAATCTCATTAAATATACTTAATAACTTTATCTTTTCAAAATAAAAATATAAACTTTTAAAAATACTCATCATTTAATATATTGAAAAGAAAAGAGATGAAAATTAATTATAGAGAGAGAAAGGGTAATATTAAAATTAATGCATTTAATAAAATTTTAATTTATCCAAAATATCTTATATTTTGAAATGAAAAAACTTCTTCAAAAATGCCTTATAATTTGGGACAGAGGGAGTATAATTTATTTTTATTAATTTTAATATTTTGTAAAATGTTGATGAAAATATAACCATAATATTCTTTAAAAATGGAGGAGAGAGAATGCATTAGATTATGAGGGCAGATTAATAATTTTAAATTTTTACACAGATTTTAATTAATATAATAAAATATTTTAAAATCTTAAACAAAATATTTCTATCAATATTAAAAAATAGATTGCAATGCAGGTCTTGAACACATAAAAGGGGAAGACTCTGTAATTTTGACAAACTTAAAGAGATGTCATTATATTTTACTCTAAATTTATTGAATAACATATTTATCCTTCCGCATTTCCTTTGAAGTTTGACATTTTTATTACTTATAAATTTAACATTTGTATTATTTGTTATATATATATATATTCTTTAAATATATCTCATTAAGTTTTTTAGTATCTAAAAATATTTTCTACATTGATAACTTTTATTTTTATAATTAAAATTTTAATTTTAATATTTTTTCTTTAATTTATCTAATTGCATACTTATATATGCGTGTGAGGGAGCATACAACTCATGTCATTTTTTTTTTTACCAGCCCATATCCTAATGTATCTAAACCTGCTTTTAAATTATATCATCTAAACAAGTTTTAGTTTATTAAATTGGCTTTTTACAAAAGAATATTGAAACATAAATCACTTTATAATAATTGACTTTTAACTTAACTTTTGTTTACAAATTGTAGTTTTTACAAAATGTAGTTCTGCAAATATTAATATAAGTAAGCGTTTAGTTGGGTTTGATTCGATTTAATTGCACGCATAAAACCTAATATGTAATTTTTAAGAGGGAGTAATAATTTCACTTCACCAAGAGTTTAATTTGTAGCTCAAGTGACATACTCTCAATCTCTCATCCATTCAAACAAAGGATATGATTAAAAGGCGGCAAAAATTGCGTGCGCCATTCATGTGCATGGTTTGTGAAGAAGCGTCAGAGAGTAAAAAATAAAAATAATTTCACTTCTTCTTTCTCTTAGCATCAGTATTCACATATTCATGCGCTGTACTATCTTTTAGGTGGGACACTTGGATCGAGGCTTAAATCCTTTATCCATTCGTTTATTAAACTTCGATCCTAAATATCTACCGGCAGTCCTAAAAGCTGGCATTATCACAGGCATTTTGTCATTGGCGGTGAGAATAATAATTCATTTCCAATTCATCAGTAACATTATTTCAAAATATATTTATTTACTTTAATTTTCTTTATTTGTAGGAAGGGATAGCAATAGGAAGAAGCTTTGCAGTGGCCGAAAATACCCCTCATGATGGGAACAAGGAGATGATCGCATTTGGTTTCATGAATCTCTTAGGCTCCTTCACTTCATGCTATTTGACCAGTGGCAAGTACATACATAAATACATATATTTATAACTATAATTAATTAGTTAATGAATATATATATATATATATATATATTATTTTTCAGGGCCATTTTCGAAAAGTGCGGTGAATTACAACGCAGGGTGCAAGACAGCGATGTCGAACATAGTACAAGCAGTGTTGATGGCGATGACACTCATATTTCTGGCTCCTTTGTTTGGATACACTCCTCTAGTGGCCTTGTCCGCCATCATCATGTCTGCTATGTTGGGACTCATTGACTATCAAGAGGCCATCCATCTCTTCAAGGTCGACAAGTTTGACTTTCTCATTTGCATCTCTTGCTTCTTAGGAGTCATCTTCATCAGCTTGGACATCGGTCTCTTCTTATCTGTGAGTTTATTTGTATTCCCCACATTTTAACTTTTACATCTCTTCATCAGCTCTTATCTATAGCTTGTTAGTATAGAATGACTTATAATTTCAATTCCTACATACTTTCTATGAGGGAAAAGAAGAAGAGAAGAGGAAAGAGAGCGAAACGTAGCATAAAAAGAGAGAGAAGGAGAGAAAAGAGAAAACATTGGAAGAGAAGACAATTTAACATTTAATGTGCGCGCGTGCATGCATGCATATATATAGGCTGATTAACATATGTATGAGTGTGTGTATATAAAGCAGTGGATTTACACTGGCACAGAAACCAAACGAAAGAGAAAACTCTAATTTTTATTTCAAATCTGAACTGACTCTTACAGCAAAGCGAGTCCTATTTATAGTGCTAGGATTTTGAATGAAATAGGTAAGCAGATAAGATGTTACAAACATCAATGCTAGATGTTTTTCTAGCTTAATGAAGGTATAAATGGAACAACATTTCTGCTTCATTTTTGTAACTCTCATGCATTTGTTTTGCGTCCATTTTGCATCCGTTTCATCCTCCCTAGGTTTAGTAGAACTCGTCCTCGAGTTAAATTCGACATCGTGATCAATGCAAGGAGATATATCAGCAACATTGAAGGTGGCAGATACACCATAAGAACCAGGTAATTCCACCTTGTAAGCATTATTGTTGATCTTTTGCATTATCTTGAACAAACCATCATCTCTTGGGGACAGCTTGGCATTTAGTTGTTTAGGAAATCGTTCCTTTTGTAAATGTATCCAAACCAAATCGCCCACGTTAAAAGTTTGATACTTCCGATGCTTGTCACGTTAAGTCTTGTATCTCAAGTTCTGCTTCTGTATTCGTGCACGAACTTGTTCATGCAACTTCTTGATTTCCTTAGCCCTTTGGTTAGCATCGGAAGTATATTGCTGCTTATCAAGTGAAGGGGTTAAGTCTAGCGGACTAAGGGGACGAGTGTCGTAAACAACTTTGAATGGACACTTCCTAATTGCTTGATTGACAGAGTTATTGTAAGTACATTTAACTTGAGCAAGAACGAGCTAGATCCTACTGCTTCAAATTCTTTCCCACGAAACTGCGAAGAAGATTACCAAGAATCCTGTTTATAGCTTCAATTTGATCATCTGTCTGAGGATGACTAGTGTTGCTAAACTAAAGTTTACTTCCCATCTTCTTTCATAGCGTCCACCAAAAGTGGCTAAGAAACTTTATATCATGATCAAAAGTGATACTTTTATGAATGCCATGAAGACGTACAATCTCTTTAAAGTACAAATCTCTACTTGAACAGCATCGTTGGTCTTCTGACATGGAATGAAATGAGCTATTTTTGAGAAACGATCCACAACTACTATGACAAAATCCTTTTGCCTTTAAGTCCATGGTAAACCCAGAACAAAATCTATAGCATTTTGACCCTTAGATTTGGCCAAGTGATAAATTCTGCATCTTTGTATATGCCTGTTAACATCCCATTTAAGTCGAGGCCAATAAAAGTTCTCTTTCACAAGGTCAACTATTTTATCCCCTTTGAAATGTCCAGCTAATCCACCGTCATGTGCTTCCCAAATTATGGCTTCTTTGAAGGAACCTTGTGGCATGCATAGGGTTTTGCCTCGAAATAAAAACCCACCATGTTTGTAGAACTAGTGAAAAGGTTGATTTATAGTTGCTTCCTATACTCCTCAAAAATCAGGATCATCTTAATACAACACTTTGATAAGGTCAAACCCAATAACTTAGGTTTACAGTTTTGTAAGCAGCACATGTCAACGGCTAAGAGCATCAGCTATGGAGTTTAAAGTTCCAGCCTTATGTTTAATAAGGAATAGATAAGACTATAAGAGTTCACTCCAACGGGCATGTCTATGGTTGATCTTCTATTGGAAATTCAAATACTTGAGAGCCTTATGATCAGAAAAAGAGTATGAACTCTTTATTTAGGAGATAATGACTCTAATGTTGGAGAACTTGAACAATGACATAAAATTCTTTATCATAGGTAGAATACTTAAGCTTGGTATCATTGAACTTCTCACTGAAAAAGGTAATAGGATGGCCTTCCTGGCTTAAAATAGCGCTAATGCTGGTGTTAGAAGTATCACAGCTAACTTCAAATACTTGGTCAAAATTAGAAAGAGCTAGGATTGGCTTCGATCAACTTCTTCTTAAGCTCCTTAAAGCTTTACTGAGCTTGCTTTGTCCACTAAAATTTCTCTCCTTTGGTGCAATTTATAAGTGGTGTAGCAATAGAGCTAAAATTATAGATGAACTTTCTGTAGAAAGAAGCTAATCCATGAAAGCTTCGAACCTCCTGGATAGATTTTGGAATTGGCTAGCCATCAATAGCTGTAACTTTGCTTGGATCAACTTGAACATCCTTTACGGTAATGATGTAACCCAAGAACACAACTTCACTGATGAGGAAGGTGCACTTCTTAAGATTTGCATAAAGCTTTTATTCACACAAGGCTTGCAAAACTTGTCACAAGTGATCTAAATGTTTTTCTTAACTCTTACTGTGAATAAGAATATCGTCAAACTACACAATAATAAATTTGCCAATGAAGGATCTCAATACCTAATTCATTAGGCACATAAATGTGCTAGGGGCATTTGTTAACCCAAAAGGTATCACATTCCACTCATACAAGCTGTCTCTGGTCTTGAAAGCAATCTTCTACTCATCTCCTGGCCGAATTCTGATTTGGTGGTACCCACTATGAAAATTAATTTTGGAGAAGGTAGTAGTACTATGCAATTGATCTAGCATATCATCAAGCCGAGATATTAGAAATCAATACTTAATAGTGACCTTATTGACGGCTCGACAATCAATGCACATTCTCCAACTCCCATCCTTCTTAGGTACTAGAAGAATAGGTACAGCATAAGGGCTGACACTTTCTTGAACCAATCCTTTCTTCAATAACTCTTCAACTTGCCTTGGACTTTAGCATGTTCTTAAGGACTCATCCTATAAGTAGGTTTATTAGGAATGACTGCTCCTCGAATAAATTTAATGGCGTGTTGTATGTCTCACATGGGAGGCAACCCTAGTAGTATCTCATCAGATATTACATCTAAAAATTTTGATAGTGACAAAATGACTCTTAGTGAATTGGCCAACTCGTCATTCACCTTAAGCACCATAATAAAGCTCATGATTTAGGCTTTAGGTTTCATCACCTTAAACTCCTCCTTAATCATCAAAGACACTAATGGCTTAGAGGCACTAGATTCCGTCGAAGATTGGCTAATTTTACTGGGTGGTAGATTCGCTAGCGTGAGCTTGACACTAGCTTTCATAAAAGAATAGGTGGTTGCTTGCCTGTTATGCATAGCATGCCGGTCATATTGCTATGGCCTCTTTAAGAGAAGGTGGCATGCATCCATAAGAATAACATTATATAAAACTTTATCATAATATTGGTTCCCAATAGAAAAGGTCATAAGACATTGTTTAGAAACTTTTACCTCATTCCCCTTGTTGAGCCAGTAAAGCTTGTAAGGTTGCGGATGATCTTGTGTTGGCAACTTCAATTTTTCCACCATGTAGTTAGATACGACGTTTTCACAGCTTCCACTATCAATTATGACATTACAAACTTTTCCTTGGGCCGTGCAATAAGTGTGAAAAATATTGCGTCATAACCAAGGTTCTTATTTGACTACAGTTGTATGCATACTTCGTCTAAACACTAATGCTTCTCCTTGATTAGCAGGCATGCTGTCCTCGTCATATACTGGATTAGTGCCATAAAACTCAGTCCCCTCCTCATCTTTTTTAGGTGCTTCATACTCTTGTCCTTCCCTAATAGTGACAACCCTTAAGTAAGACAATCTGCAGCAATGTAGCCAAATCCTTGACATTTAATGTATTTGATTACTTTAGAGCCAGATTCCTTAGCAGCATTGGGTGATGGTTTGGGTAGAGCGATAGATTACGATTTGCTTAAGGAGTTAGTTTGCTGTAATTCCACTTTATGGGCTTCTAGATAACCTCTGGAGGAAGAAGGCTGAAAAGAAGATCTTTTGGGCATCTGCTTTTCAACACGCATGGCTAGACGGATGACATCATATAAGGTCCATTACTGTTGAAGCTGGAATGGACGACTGATATCTGTGTTTAAGCCTGCAAGGTATCGGGCTATTATTTGCTCCTCTTTCTCTTAAATGTCACACTTCATCATGATTTTTTCAAATTTCCTAGTATATTCTTCTACAGATAAAGACTTCTGTCAAAGATTTTGTAGCTGGATAAAGTTACCCTAGTGGTAATTATCTGGCAAAAGTTTCCTGATAAGCTGGCATCTCATTTTCTCTCAGGTCTCAATCTTGCACTTTTCCTCACGTTCTCACTTCTATCTAAGGTTTTCCCACCAAATGGAAGTATGTTTCTTGAGTTTGAAAGCAACAATCTTGACTTTTTGCTCATCTGCAATCTCCTTGTATTCAAATACTTGTTCAACAATTTGAAGCCAGTCTACAAACTTATCTGGCTGGAATCTTCTCTCAAATTCAGGAATATCTACCTTGATGTCATTAGGACAAAATTGTCGTTGTCGTGGACGGCAACGGTTGTCAGTGGATGACGAACTGCTGCTTCTCGAATCTCCTTTTAGGTTTTTTTTGTTATTGTTTAACAGAGTTCGCTGCATTTTTACAATGGCTTCCAACTCTTGTATCCTACATCTCATCTCTTCCATCTCAACCTTATGCACATGCTTGCATCTTAGAGGCATTTTGATAGGTGTCAAGGCTAGGGATATTGGAAAGATTGAGGTGTAAAATAGAAGTGTTGAAAAGATATAGGGATAGAATGGAAATTTTGAAAAGAATAGGAGCAAAATGAGAATTTTGGAAAGTCTAGGGGGTAAAAATGGAGATTCTAGAAGTATAGGGGGTCAAAGTATAATTTATGAAAAATATAGGGGTCAAAATAGAATTTAGGTAAAATTAAGGGGCAAAAGTGTAATCTCAGGAAAGATTTAGGGTCAAAATGAAATTTTAAAAACTTTTAGGGTCAATATGATATTTCAAAAAGGTAAGGGTCAATATAAAAATATGAAAAGATTTAGGTGAAAATGTAATTTTGAAAAATATGACTAACTGGGTAGGGTAATGTGGTGTGATAACACGTGTCAGTATTTAACTAGGTTGAGCTTCTATTGACCGATTAAAGAATTGATGTGGCGGATGATATCATTGTCTTTAACCTTCAGCTGGCGCATGCGACGCATGGAGAGACGGCGACGATGCATGGGCTTCAGGCAACGATGTGTGAAGGCACGTGAAGACACTTTCGGCAACGAGGAACCTCTTGTTCCACATTTTCAAACCTCTTGAGCGAGATGTTAATGTTAGTTTTTGGAGAAAATGCGTGGAATGTAGGGTTCGAGCAAGTCAGGGACTCCTCCTCTGAACTTCTCTCCTCTTCGATATAGTTCCTCAACTCTACCTCACTTTTTCGCTCTGTGGACCAACTCTGATATTAAAATGGCATAGAAACCAAACGAAAGAGAAAACTTTGATTTTTATTTCAAGTCTAAACTGACTCTTATGCAAAGCTAGTCCTATTTATAGTGCTAGGACTTTGAATGAAACAAACAAACAAATAAGACATTACAAACATAAATGCTAGACATTTTTCTGGCTTAATGAAGGTGTAATGGAACAACATTTTTGCTTCATTTCTGTAATTCTCATGCATCTGTTTTAGTCCGTTTCAGTCCGTTTCATTCATGCTTCTTTGATTTTGGGAAAATTCACAAATAAGTATGAAAAGTTTTGAATATTTGCCCCCACTACTTTTATAATTTTAAACCCCTCAAATCATTTTCAATATTTTTACAACTTTTGCACTTTATCCACTTTATGCTCTTATCACTATGTGCAACATCTTAGCCCTAAGCCATGAACATATCACTAATGATATAATGGTTATCTTATATATATATATATATAAAGGATACTTTATATATTTAGTCTATGTATTTAAAATTCTTATTTTCAATTAAATTAACGCACATAGATTTTTCATAAATAATTTGTTGATAATAACTTCTTCTTATTAATATTATTGACACATTAAAATTTATATGTTTTAATTTGATTGGATGAAAGTATTTATTTAATTATATAAATTTAAGTACATAAGTCTTGATATATATATATATATATATATATATATAACTGATCAAACGTGTGGTTGTGTGTTTGTGAGAAGATTGGACTTGGTGTGGTGAGGGCATTGCTGTACGTGGCCAGACCAAACTCATGCAGGCTTGAAAAGATACCAGACTCGACTTTGTACAGAGACGTTGAGCATTATCCAAGTTCCACCATAACCCCAGGTGTTCTCATTATTCAACTGGGTTCTCCTATCTACTTTGCAAACTCTTCCTACATCAAACACAGGTATGTAATACTTCATTTTGTGCTCTATTTCCTCCCTCTCTCTCTCTATATATATATATATATCATGACGATCCAAGTAATTAACCTTTTTCTATAAATTTAAAAACTATGAAATAGGATCATGAGGTATATCCAATGCGAGGAGAGTTCTAGTACCGGGGAAACTGTAGAGCATATCATACTCGATTTATCAGGTTAGTATGTAATTATGTTTCCAGTGAAGTAATCGTCTAGGCACATATATATTTTGTATACTCTCTCATGCATTCTCTTATCAATACATTAAGCAAAAATAATTAAGTATTTAAACATGAGCAGGAGTGACCTCCATTGATGTAACTGCTATTGAGGGATTATTGGAGTTACATAAAGTCCTGGAGAAAAATGGAAAGAAGGTATGCCATTGAATCACAGTTGAAAATTTTGCTATTTATTATTTATATGGACAGTAGACAGAAGAGATGTTTATATGTATATTTATTATATATGCAGATGTCAGTAGTGAATCCAAGAATAGAGGTTTTGGAGAAGCTGGTAGCTTCCAAGTTTGTTGATAAGATTGGAAAGGAGTCCTTCTTTTTGAGCGTGGATGATGCTGTAGCGGCAAGTCGATTTCACCTTCTTCGTGCATTGATGACAGATAATGCTTGAGAAATTATCAGATCAGTTAAATCAACTATAGCAAGCTTGTTTATACATAACACAAATTAAAGTGTTACTGCAATTAAGCTTGGGATCACTCTGCTTAAAATCAATGCTATAATTGTGGTATGCGTTTGAAGAATATATATACATATATATAGTTAAAGGGGTTTGTTTCAAGAGAAAATAACAATAAAATCCCATGGAAATATCTACTTTGCAAACTCTTCCTGCAAACAGAGGCACGTACTTTCATTTTGCTTTCTATTTCCTATATTTATATTGTGTGTGTCATGATGATCCACGTAATTAATTAACCTTTTTCTGTGAATTTAAAAACTATGGAATAGAATTATGAGGTATCCTCAAAGCGAGGAGAGTTCTAGTACCGGGGAAAACTGTAGAGCAGATCATTCTTGATTTTTCAGCCTCCTATATATAGTATGTTTTCAGAGAACGTGCATGTGTTTTTTTATACTCTGGTGTGCATTCTCTTATTAATACCGCAAGCAAAATAAATTATTTAGACTGAATTTATAGTTTATGGTTCAAATTATCATTTAATCCATTAAAATATAATGAGCATTAAAAAAAAGGAGAAAAATGGAGAGTAAGAGAAAAGGAAACACCACTCTCCCCACATTGAAGCTCTGTTTGATTTTCATCACTTTCACATTTAAAAAAGTCCCTTTGGTTTAAAATGGAATAATATTGAAATTTTTTTTAGATTTTTTCCAAAAAAAAAAAATCAAAACTCCATTTGAAAATACTCCAAGTGTACATCTGAAAATGGAATAATATTGACACGTTTCCTTTTAGCTAAAGTAAAAAATTATGAGCTTACATCTCAATGTAATAGATGGAGTATTGAATGAGGGGATCAAACTGATTTTTGAAGAAAAAAAAATAAAACACAAAATCCGTTACAATAACTAATTTTTTTCATATGAATTTTTAATAAATAGATTTTTAGCAAATAAAAATAATAATAACTCTTTTTAGAATGGGGAAATGAATTGTCTTAAAGCAAAGAATGGGGAAAAGAATTTGCTGTGTGCGAGTGTATTACTTAAGCTAACAAAGATAATAGGCCCAATGATGCCCAAGAAGTAAGACAAGAAAAAACCCGGTAGAGAAAATGAGAAAAGTATCGTCTTCATTAAACAAGTATGGTTTGGTGCTTTATCAAAAAAAGGTATAGTTTGGTGAACATATCTATTTTTAATTTTTTATGTAAACATTTTTAGTTTTTCACACTCATTTTTCTCAAAACTTGGCTAAAATATATTGTACTTTTTATTTAGAAAACATCATAAGAAATCGTACAGATTATCTCTCTAGAAAATGCATTAATTTCAGCCCAGTAACTTAAAATTGTGGTTTGTGAGGAAGGGTCCAGTTTTTTCTTTTTGTTGATTGCTGAAACATACTACAACGCATCCTTAATAGGCCCAATCAAGTGAAGGGGCCGAAAAAGAACAAGCATGAACAAGAAAACAGGAAAAATGAAAGCAAGTCCAAGCAAAGAAAACAGATACAAAGTAAAAACAAGAGCAAAACCCTAGACAGAGACGAAGCAGAGCCCAATTCGTCTATGAAGGCCTGGAGAAGTCTTCGGCCGCTGAGTTGATGAAAACTCAAGACTCACGAGCCAGGGATGCAAGCATAAAAAGTACTAAAAATTAGATTCATCATTGAATCAGTCAAGATTAAAGGTTAGAGATTTAATTACGAGTCAAATCAGGTGTTAAACCAGAATAATTAAAATAATAGATTTTTTGTCATATAATAAATAATAAATATTTTTTAATAAATAATACCTACTTAGCTAAATTTTTTTGAAGAATTTACAGTATATAGACCATTACTTGCTCAATGTAGCCTGAGTGCCTGACATATTATTGTCTTTTTTGCACGTAAAAATAAAAAATAGGAACAGACAATGCTAATTTTGAATTTCTTCACAATATTTTAAGATGTTTTTTTGTTTTTTGTTTTTTTGTTTTCAATCTTGTCAAGTAAACCTATACAAGCATAATCTCACCGATCACCACTCAAGATTTTATCTTTTTGCATGCGTTTTCACTTTTTAATTCATCTTTTTCTCTCCTTTTTTTTTTTCTTCATCTTCTTCTATATTCTTTCATCATCTTCTTTTTTCGTCTTCTTCCTTCTCCATATTAGAAAGATATGCTGAGAACACTGAGAATAGTAACACGAAGAACATCGAGAATGCTTAGGGTTGAGAATGCTGGAAGTCGAACACAAGAAGCTTGAAGAGAGAAGGTGAAGAAAGTTGAAGCTCTACTCAAGGACAACAACGAGCGAGATGCCAAGAAGTTGAGCTCAAGAACTCTAAAACTTTGAAATGCGAGCAGAGAAAGAGAAAGATATTAGGCTTCTGGTGATCTATCTAAGTTTTATTTTTTTATTTTTATTTTTACATTTTGATCCCCAAACCGCCGTGGTTTTTGGGGTGAGAAAATTTAAAAAATATAAACTACCCAACCCGTTTAACTTGTGGGATTGGGTGACCAAGGTTAACCCGGGTCTAGGGATGGATTTGAGGGGGGGCAAGCAGGGGCCCTTGCCCTCCCATGTCATAAATTTTTGGGTAAATTTTTATGATTTTTACTTGAAAAAAATGGGAAAACAAATTTTGGCGCCTGCCAACTTTCATGAATTTTTTTCATTGTGGTCCTCTCATGTGTAATGTTCTGGGTTCGTCACTACCTGGGTTAGTCCCTGCCACTTCAAATCACAAAATCGGACCAGATAGATTGTTGAGTCACTGCTTCACCGATTTGACCGGTTCAGTTTTACAAACAATGCAAGCATCCAAGTATTCTAGTTGAACCCATCTTCGACAGTGCATGCATGCACGACCGTACCATATACACTAAGATGAGAACTCCACGTTTCTAGGGAAGAGGCAAGAAGCCATATAACTGCAACAAGGAACCAATGATCCAAGGACCTTGGTAACTTCACAAACCTTCGAACAAAAGGAGGAAGAAGAGTGAACTGCAACCAACGAAAATAAAACCAACAAGCGACGAAAACAAAAGCCGAGCAGCCTAACAATTCTAGAAGCATAACACCAGTCATTATGTGCTTCCAAGGAGTTGTCTTCATATCAGCAAAATGCGACCTTTTTTGTAAGCAAAGCTTGCAAAAACCCACAAGAGCCACCAATTAATGTCAGAAGATTCAATCAACCTATCAGCGGCCTTGTTCTGCTCTGGCCGACGACGAGTGCATCGACCGAATCCATTTGTTGCGGTCAAGGAAGAGTCTAGCGCATCAGAAGTTGGCACACGAGGGACAATGGGGTCCAAACCAAGCTAGTGAGCATTGTTGAGATCCACCAAAGACCAAGCAATATCCCCAGACTTTGTGTGAACACAATGAACTCGTGTTTGAACAGCACTACAGAAATGCTCGTATTTGACAGTTGTTTTTGCCTATATTTGACTACTTATAATGGTCAAACAAGAGCCCATTATATGTTTGAGGTGCCTATATTTGACAGCCACGAAATCATCACATATTGATCCAAATATTTGATGGTTATCACCAACCGTCATATACAAGTGTTTAGATTTGGCAAGAAATGTAATTTAATGACATATTTGATAATTATGGTATATAATTGTTAAATACGAGCTTCTTATGTGACAATTGTGGTCATAATCATCAAATAAGATGAATTGGGCAGTGGGTGCCGACATTGGAACGTGGGGCATCCTAGGGTTACTGAAGTGAAAATAAGGATAAAGACGAGGAGGCTGTTGGTGTAACTCGTGCTGAGGATAGAGCTTGGACTATTCAGGTTCTTGGGCCCCATTTTATACAGAAAAAAAAAAATCCCTAAAACTAATTAGAGTTGATCCAAATATTACTTTGGGCATGTTAAAGGAAGTTATTAGACGGAAGGTACAACTTTCTCCTAAAAAAAAAAAAGTCATGTCAAATTTAGTATTCAATGACAGCACAAACGAGTTACTTAATGTGATAGATTGACTACACAAACACAAGTCGCTTGAATCTCATCTCGATAACAAAAAGAAAACACTGAACAACAACGACCACAATTTTAGATAAAAACAAACAAGATAAAACAAACTCGCGGAAATCATAATAATTAAAGTGATTAATGTTTGAACTATATTACGAATTTGGTATAGTTTGTTATTTGTTTTAGGGAAAACAGAAATAAAAAACTGCCAAAAAAATTTATATCAATTAATAACTAATTGTTGTTAAAATCCAAATGAAAAAAAGCCTGAATAGACTGTTATTAATTTAAAATAAATTATTATTAAAATCTGAATAAATATTTGTTGATAAAAAAAAAACTAACACAAATTAACATGCATACATTCGGGTTTTGATAACAAATAATTTTTAATTGATATAAATTTTTTCTGGCGATCCTTGATTGATATTTTCCATTTGTTTTAATTAGAGTTCTGAACTATTGACTTTTATCAACATTAACCATTATCCACATCTTATTTATCCTTGTCATCTAAATTTTAATCTCAACAATCTAAATTTAAAATATTTATTTATTTTATATTTATTAAAGGAATTTGTAAAATTGTTAATAATTTAATTTATCATTACTTTTGTCTAGATTTAATTTAAAGGATTCAATTTAATATTAAATTTTTTATAATCTTTATATAAATACAATATTAAAAATTAAAAAAATCTCTTAACTTGCACTTTTTAAAAAAATATTACAAGTTAAAAATTTTAAATCTAAACAATTTAAAGTAAATCTACATAGTCAATTTAGCCTAAAGTATATTTTTTGTCCTACAACTTTATATAAAATTGTAATTTAATTTCTTAATTTTATAAAATATATTTTTAATCTTTTAATTCTAACACTATTAGTTGTAAATGATTATTTTTGTACCAACTATTTTTATTTTTTAAAAAATTAAATTTAGTAAGTTAATATTTGAGGATGCTTTATTAATATTTAACATTTTAATGTAAATTTTTTTGTGTGATAAAACTAACAATGTTAGGGTTAAATGATTAAAACTACACTTTCTAAAATTAAGAGATTAAAATAAAACCTTG